CAGGGAGCAACAACAATTCAGGAGGGAGCAACATCCAGGCACCGTTATCAACCCAGGAAGAAGCAACAATCGAAGAAGGGTGCAACGGAACGCATCGGTATGCGAAAGTGAAAAGTGAAAGTGAAAATTGTTAGTGACCGTGCTGTGAAGTGTTTTCGGGGTGAGAAGCAGGTACAGTGACCGGGCTGGCCCATCAGCTGATTTTCGTTCGGGTCTTCGACCTTGCCGTGATCGACAGCGGTGCATTGGCCGGGCCCTATTGTCAGCGCAGTAGGTCAACTTGCAAATGAATGGGTAAGTCGAATTTCAATTATTTCTCTATTAACCCTTTGCATTCGAGGAATGTTTCGGTACGCAGAAATCCAGTCTGCTTTTTCAGTACAGTTTTTAATAACAAACGGTTACAAATGGTTCTTACCGTATTTATTTTAATTTTCTGATAATAATTCTTATTTTAATTTTAAAACACTCTGGCGAGAAGCGTCACTCGGGTGCGAAGGGTTAATTTTCTAAAAATTCCGAGATTTTATTCCTTCTTCCTTGGAAACAGCGAATACAAATAATTAATAAAAAGTAAATTCCATTTAGTAATTTACGTACTAATTACGTAGTAATTCACGAATTAGGTAACAGTTGCAGTGGTAGTATTTTTAATTATTTGTACTCGTTCCTCGATGTATTTTCAACGCGCATCTTGCTACCTACCCGGCGCGGTGGCTCTCCGAGGTCGGACGGCCCTGAGCGCGCGGAAGGCGAGCGCCGTGATTGGTCAGTGTTTTTCGTTAATAATTCAAAAACGAAGCCCCATCCGACATTTTTGCAAAGGAAATTGTTGCTTAGAATTGTCTCACCTACCCCCCATTTCCGTTTCTTACACTATTTACGGGACACCCTGTATAGAGGTCAATTTAATATATTTCATTTTGCAGAAATGAATTTAGAGGGGAATCAAAAAAAAAGGAAAGAAGAATATAGACGTTCTAATATATGGCATGTGATAATGTTACAAAGAAATAACAATTTTTTACATTTCCCTCCTGATGGAAGTGACCACCACCTTCCCGTGGTTTCCATTGAACGGTAGCGTGCACCTTATTGTTTTACCTATCGTTACAATTATTTTGTTATGTAAAGTTAAGTCAAATATATAACATTTGATTGTGTGTAACAATTTGATACGGTTATTAAAAAACATAGTGAGAAAAGTCAGTAGTAATCTATTTCTGTAGCGTGCACGGTACTGGCTAAGAGTGGTTTTTCATTTTAATTAACCCTTAATTAACCCTTTACGAGTAAGACTGCTTTGAACAACATTATTCTAAAATATTTGTGGAATACGTTTTTTATGTGGTTTAGGTAGGTATGCAAGGCATAAGATTTCGTTTAATTTTTCCTGTCTAGGAAAGATAGGAGAAAAGTATATTTGATCTTAATCCTTCTTAAGATTTGTGGCGTCGCCTCCCATGCTCGCCACCAGAGGGGTCGCGCTCTCACAAGCGCTCGACCGACCCCTCCGTTGCTATATATACACTCCTCGAACGACTTCCCAATATCCCAGTCGTCTAAGGCAGGGCCTGCTAGAAAGCCTTACTGATGAGTCCACTGGCAGGCCCGGACGAAACGCGCCCCCTCCTTTCCTTTTCTGTCCTCCTACGAATTCCCACGAGTTCCCTAACAGCAGCGAAGCAGCGCCACAATTGGTGACCCGGACGATGAATTGGACAACTAGGAAGCAGCTCGAGAATTTTCCAGGAAACCGCAGACCCGCACGCAGCGTAGGACGAAGGAGGCAGCGCCGAACAACCGTGTCTAATCGTACTAGCAAATAGCTCTTTCGTAATCCCTCTCCTAAGGTGGCCTTTCGTTCACTCGATCGCTCGGTCCTGACCAAATCTACCTGACGAGGCCGTCGTCTCCAGGAGGAGACAGATTGGCAGGATTCAAAAGCAAGCAGCAATAGCACGCATAGTGGGGCCACAGGTAGGACAGCAGCATATACGCTCGATGACTTCAGCAGCGCAAGGCACGAGAACGACTCGCCGCGCCAGACGATCAGAGAACGACCACGCAGCAGCAGAAAGCACGCATATCCTACGGCGCAATAGAATCGAAGTTCTAGCCAGGATCAGAAAAATCTCCAGTGATGATCGTCAATCGAGATAGAGGCGCTATACGAAGACACGACGACGACAAGTCCCAGAGGAACGGAACAACTGTAGATAATGTACATAGTATTCGATAAGTCCTGTAAATAGTAGACTTAATCCGGTATCGTTAGCACTGGCAGGGGGGTAATGTGGCGTCGCCTCCCATGCTCGCCACCAGAGGGGTCGCGCTCTCACAAGCGCTCGACCGACCCCTCCGTTGCTATATATACACTCCTCGAACGACTTCCCAATATCCCAGTCGTCTAAGGCAGGGCCTGCTAGAAAGCCTTACTGATGAGTCCACTGGCAGGCCCGGACGAAACGCGCCCCCTCCTTTCCTTTTCTGTCCTCCTACGAATTCTCACGAGATCCCCTACCCGCAGCGAAGCAGCGCCACAGATTTATATAAATCGCTTTAAAAATTTGTTACAAATGATGTATATGTATCGAAATAATTATAAAACTACAGACGTATAATCATCATTATATGGGAACTGATCACGCTTAAAATATAATGAGACCTTAAAACGAGAACATAAAACTTAAATGTTAAGTTTCATTTAAATTCATTCAGCCGTTTAGACGCAATCATGTCAATAGCATAGGAACAGAAAAAAAATATGTTTTTTTGTAGTAGTCACAATATGATGAGGGGGTCCTAAAACGTGTATTTCCGCTAAAAAAAAATTTCGAAATATTTTTTTCGTTATTCCAATTCACTTATTGTTAGTCGTTGAGGAACAAAAAAAATGTCTTTTTTTTCAATAGTCACAATATGATCAGGGGGTCCCAAAACGTGTATTTCCGCTAAAAAAAAATCAAAATTTTTTTTCATTATGATACTTTATTTTCCTTATACCTTACATATAGGTCGGAAAGTAAAAATGCTGGGGCAGTCGAGACTTGGAATCGTATGCCGATTAACGCGAGGTCGTATTTCAGCTGTTTCTCTTTTACAAGAGCATGAAGGAAAGGCTCACACTAGCGTTCTTTATCGATTTGCCGAAGTTGTGCGAAGTGCCGAGCTCACGTACACGTGGCTCGTGCGGTAGTGTATGCCTGCTATCCCCACCATTCCGTTAGACGCTAAGGAAGTTCGTCGTCACTGTTGCCGATTTCGATGCACTCAATTATGCCAGATCTGGCCACACTGCTCAATTATGCCCGATCTGGCCACACTGAGTTGAGGTTTTGTGCGCGGACGTGTGGCACGTTTGCAGTCCGACCAAGAACGTTATGTAGTTTAGTTTTTTTTTGTAACCTCCATCTGTGTAATTCTATAATATATATCTTTAGTTTTGGCCTATAATGATTGTGTTTAAATATGCCTAAACCTTATACAACAGTATATTTCTTTTCTTTTTTGTGAAATCTTTAACAATTTATTTTTTATACTAAATTGCTATTTAGAATATTACTATTTCTTTATACTACGTTTAATTTGTATAAAGATAATATTTCTTTAACTATTAAAAGTGTGCGTTTTCTTTATTTCCAACATTTGTTATTAAAAGTGTTTAAATCGAAAAAGATGGCAGAAATACAGTATAAGTTCTATTATACAAACCTCCACTATTCGGATGGTAAAAAATTATTTATTACATAAACTAAATATGAATAATAAAAACGTTAAAATGATGTAGTAACAGTTAATAACTTAAAAAATAAAATATACTGGCGTGCAAAATTTAGGGAACACTTTCATCGAAAAATTGCTGATATTTAAAGTATGATAACTTTGTAACAAAACATCATACAACAATTACTCTGAAGTCGTTTTAAAGCTTGAAGCCTCTATTTTCAGAATACTGTAGCAGTTTTCTCCAGGGTAATTTCTACGTCACGTGGGAGGGTGGAGAAGCGAGGGTTCTTTTTTCAAAAATTGTTCGATTTCAAACCACTGTATAGTACAATCATCACGGGTTTGAGGGCTGAAGACTCCCCTTTATAACGACCCCTCAAAAATTAATGTACGATTTTTTTTTTAGCCATTTTATTGTACTTTGAATGAGAAATGTGCCGCCGGCAGTACAAGCCAGTTTCAAGCGACTGTACAGTCGTTTGAAATCGAACAATTTAAAAAAAAAAATATCCTCGCTTTTCCACCCTCCCACGTGACGCAGAAATGACTCTGGAGAAAACTGCTAGAGGATTCTGAAAATAGAAGCTCTAAGCTTTAAAACGACTTCCGAATGATTGTTGTATGATGCTTTGTTACGAACTTATCACACTTTAGATATCAGCAATTTTTCGATGAAAATTTAGTGTTCCCTAAATTTTGCATGCCAGTGTATATCTTTATTAGGAAACATGGGGTTTTAGTTCAAAATTGAGATTTAAATACTTTTAAGGGTATTGCTTGTGAATTATTTTATTATTATTATTTTAAATATAAAATGATTAATATAAAAAAAGTTAGTGATATAGTATTCAAAAACTTCTTAAACTAAGCAATCGTGTTTTTCTATTATTTTAAATAATGGGAATTCTATTATATTAAATTAAAAACGCAACATAGTTGATTAAGACATAGAATATTATTAATTTATGTCTCATTTATAATATTTCTTCGAAAGCACAGATAATGAAAGTTTTATTGTATTACAAATATTACTTGCTTCCCCTTTTTAATAAAAGTATTTATTAAACTTGATTAATATTCTGTGTTTAATTTTAATTTTTTTTATCTAAAAATGATTTTCCAATGATTGATTTTCTATTTTAAAATTTCTCTGGAATTTATACTTGAAAATTTAGTGCAATCATTTTATTAGATCTATTCTACCTACAAACGAATTTTTACTCTTTTCTCTTGCTGAACTATAGGATTATAATATGTTTTTATGAAAATAGATAATACAGAAAGCCATTCAAGGGATGGGAGGTCTGGAAATTTTAGTGAATCTTCTTGAGACCAAAAATATAAAATGTCAAAATGGTTCACTATCAGTATTGCTCCAAATTGCAAGTTCCACAGAAATGCGGCGGTACCTAATCGATCTTGGTATTGTAACACCGTTGATTCAAATATTGAAGCATCCGGCTAGGGATATTCAAGTTAGTTTTTTATTTACTCAATATACATTTATATTAAAATTGTACAGCTACAATGTTTTACCTATACAAGCGAGAAACTTGCTCATGATGTAGTCAAATGTCGCATCCCCACTCTGTATCCCACTTCATATGAGCGATTCTCATAACGGCGCGCTCGGCGGACCGTCATCGAACATTGTAACACGATACGGGTTCAAATTATTAGTAAGACAACACTAGTGCAATAATAAAAGTTTTTTATTTTCATTTTTCTCGTTTTGAAACATTTAACATATTTACCATTACCATCAACATATTCATGACACTTTTCTGATTAAAATGACACCAAATATGATATACAATTCAAGTGATATTTATCAATGTAATAAACGATCAAAAGCATTACATCGCTCAGTTCACTTCACGTCCTCTACTATATCGAAACACAGGCGATGTTTACGGTATTCTATACTGAATCAGTATTTCATTCTGTGACCTCTGTCAAGAGAGGTAGAGGTCAGAACTAGAATACCGATTCCGTATAGACTACCGTAAACATTCCCTGTGTTTCGATGCAGCTGAACCGAAACGAAGTAAAGGAAAGCGAATTCGGCGATGCTCGGGCGCTCAGTCCCTGTTTGTCATATGCTCGCTATTCTTTTCTGCGCTTGCCACCATCAGTGAGCGTCAACAAAGTATGAAGAATTGTTTCTCGTCTGCACTATAGGCGAACGTTGAGCCCCGAGAGCGTCGTTTATAGTATAGAGAAAATACTGTATTGTCTTGTCGAAAATATTAAAAAGTCTCACAAAAATTTGAAAAATTTTAATTTATTTAAATTTAAATTGACAATTACTATGATTTAATGGTTTATTTACTACCGTTAAGGTTCTAGCTGCTGAAACTATAGCCATCATCGCACGAATTAGGAAAGCGAGAAAGCAAATACGTATTCGAGGCGGTATTCCACTCATCGTAAGTTTTTCTCAATTTACAAGTAATCTTTTTACCAGCATTCACAGACTTTAATTTAAACATGCACCAATAATTGTAACTTTTAAAATATTTTAAAGAAACAAATTCATTCAGTATGAATCATCGATTTTAATTTAACCCATTGAGGACCAATGTTGCATTAATACGACATTATTTTATTTTTTTTAGTCAGTTTACATTATTGAATTCTATTTTTTAATGTTGTGTTGCGAAAGGATATTCCAATGATTTGCTTAATAATTATTTGACACAATTTCTTTTTCCAACCAAGTTTCACAATATTATTCTGTTTGAAGAAACTAGTATTATGATAAATTATTTTGTGTTTTTTTAACCATAGAAATGTTGTTTGTGCTTTGGAAATTCAAAAGTTCAATAAATACAAAATTTTGTTATAAATAAATAAACGATCATAAGTTTTGTAAATACATATATTAAAAATCGCTTTATTTTATTGCTCAATCTTTAATGGGTTAAATATATTTATTGTGCTGTAATATTTACATATAAAATTTGATTTTAATGCACGATAAATACTGTAAACTTTATTGCTTATAGAGTTTTCAGCTATACGTAGGTAAAATAATTATTTAAATATATTTAAGGTTTGAAATGAATACCATTATTTCCTGAAATGTGAAATATTATGTAAATCAATTCCCCACTCCTCCTCCTGTTGCAGTCCGCTGGCTCACAGGTATCGATGGAAAACGGTGCCGAAGATCGGTGACAGCCAATCGGCGGATTGCAGCAAGAGTGGGGATGTAAACACTCTGTGCCTTCTTCTCGTGGAAGGACGATAGAATAACACATACGATAGATTTTATGGGTGCACGATGAGCAGAAAACTTTGAAAAACTGTCAAAATTTTAGATTTCATCAAGTCTTTATAAAACTTGGTAATTTAAGGTTACCGAGGTTGCTGATATCGAATATGAAATCAAAAATTTCAAATTCAAAATGGCGATATCATTCCGCAGATATAATGGCTCGCGAAGTAATTTATATCTTTTTTGATGGTCAAAAGCTTTTATGGACATTTTTTAAAACATAAACTGAGCTTCTATAACACATTTCGTTTAAATATATATGAGGGAATGTTACAAAGTAGGTGCGCGCAGGAGCGCGTATGCCGTGTGTGTGCGTGAGGACAGTGGACGATCGTCCTTGTTCGTCCACGACGAGTCAGTCGCTAAGGTGGAGTCAAAGAAGAAGCACGTGTGAAGGCCATCGGATCACCTATTGTATTCTCATTAAATATTGTTTCTCATTTAAGTGATTAGATAACCGTTTTTTCGTCACCCCTCTCTACCACATCCTACAAATGGGGGCTCGTCTGCCGAGAGGATAGTCGAGAAAACGGGTTAAAAGTGGAAAAGTTCGAGCGGTCATACTACGAAGTAACCATGAAGGCATAAAGTGATAAAGTGATAAAGTAAACTTAGTGGCGAATCAGTGGTGTCAGCGAATCGGAAAAAAAAGAAAATAAAAGTGACTTGTGAGTGAAAAAATAGAAGGAAATTGGTAAAACGGACGACGGAAATAACGACAGCGAAGAAACCGTAATGGCCAGCGAGGATGCGACGCAGAAAGAAGAGAAATTAAAAGGCAAAGAAATCGATAAAATGAAAATCAGTGAGCTACGCAAAAGGTTGAACGAACTGAGACTGGAAGCGACAGGTAAAAAAGCAGATTTAAGAGAAAGATTAAAGAACTACATGAAAAGCAAGGATGACATAGAAGAAGAAACTGAAGAATCTGAGGAAGACTCAGAAAGTGAAGACGAAGAATTTAATAAGGCCGAAAGCAAGCAATATAAAGGCAGATCGACGAGAAAAGCGTGCAGCGGACAATCCAGTATTTTTACAATTAAATATGTTGAGCAGTCCGTACCTTATTTTACAGGCGACGATAAGTTACCTATCAAAAAATGGATCGAAGATTTCGAAGACATGGGTACGTTATTGCAATGGAACGATCTACAGATGTTGATTTACGCAAAACACATGCTACGAGGGTCAGCGAAATAATTTATTACGGCAGAGGAAGGTATCCGATCATGGGGAGAATTGCATAACCGATTGGAAAAAGAATTTAAAACGGAGACAAATAGTGCTTTGGTACATTCAAAACTGTATAAACGGAAAAGATTGTCTCAAAAAACTGGACGACAATACATATATGCGAAGCGCGAAATAGCCAGCGAAGGTAACGTCGAAGAAGGTGCCCTTATCGAGTACATAATTAATGTATCAATCACGTACAATAAAAGAATTGAAAGCTAATCTAGAAATATACAACAAAATGAAAGAAAAGGCTGGAAAGAAGTTGAACTATGGCAAGAAAGAAGAAGTAAAAGAAAAGAAAGAGGCATCCGCTAAAACAAAGAAGCCTCGTTGCAACTCGTGTGGATTGCTAGAATACGACGCTAAGAATTGTCCAAATAAAGGTAAGGGGCCAAAATGTTTTAAATGTAACAATTTTGGACATACAGGGTGTTCGGCTACCTCTAGCAAAAATTTTAATGAGCGATAGTAGAGGCCAAAATAAGACGAAAATCAAGAATACTAATTTGTTGATGGAGGCTTCGTTGCAAAGTTATTAACATTTAAAGTTCCGCCTGTAGAATGACAATCCGGTAAACAGCTGCGTTCGCGCGGACGGTTGCGGCAGGCGAGTGCTAGTGGTTCTCACGCAGCATGAAAAATTCTGCTTACCGACATTATCGACAGCCTTAGATTTTTGTCCACTTATGGGAATGCGAACACCTTACGTTGAATAAGATTCAACCTGTCTTATGAAAATCCAGAAGGGCATATCAAAACTCGCCCGACGAGATTTTCACAGAGAAAGGGTGAATGCCAATTCCAATACACAATGTTGTGAACAAAAATCACCCATATGCGATTATACACGCCCCACGATTGATTACATTTTTAAATTGAAGTGTATTTGAAAAATTAATAACAGTTTTATTCGTAAGTAACTCGGAAGAATCGTGATACACGTACACGTAGACATTCACGAATAACATAATCGCGGTACGTGTTTATTTAATTGCATAGTGGTTAGTGCCTGAAAGGATTATTTGTGGATACTTGTGGACACTGTGGACAATCGTGGGGCGTGTATAATCGCATGTGGGTGATTTTTGTTCACAACATTGTGTATTGGAACTGGTATTCACCCTTTCTCTGTGAAAATCTCGTCGGGCGAGTTTTGATATGCCCTTCTGGATTTTCATAAGACAGGTTGAATCTTATTCAACGTAAGGTGTTCGCATTCCCATAAGTGGACAAAAATCTAAGGCTGTCGATAATGTCGGTAAGCAGAATTTTTCATGCTGCGTGAGAACCACTAGCACTCGCCTGCCGCAACCGTCCGCGCGAACGCAGCTGTTTACCGGATTGTCATTCTACAGGCGGAAATTTAAATGTTAATAACTTTGCAACGAAGCCTCCATCAACAAATTAGTATTCTTAATTTTCGTCTTATTTTGGCCTCTACTATCGCTCATTAAAATTTTTGCTACAGGTAGCCGAACACCCTGTATAGCGAACAAATGCACGGTAAAAGAAGGAAACAATACCGAACCTGCAAACGTAAATTGCATTGCGAATCCTAAATCGACATACCCAATAAAAATAAACGAGAAAAAATGCCAAGCGTTAATTGACTCTGGGAGCGATATCTCATTGGTACGAGAGACGAAACACAGGGATATCGGCAGACCGGCGCGGCGGTAGAAACCACGACGATGAATACAGGGTGTCCCAAAGATGTTGCGGGTCCTTAAAGGGGGTGATTCGGGGGATAATTGCAAACAACTTTTTCCTTTGTGAAAATGCTCTCCGGGGTTTCGTTAACGAGATATTAACAAAAAGCACCGACCAATCAGATCGCGCGCTTTCCGCCCGAGCTCCCATGCTAGCATGGCTACGCGCCGTGCTAGCGTGGCTACGCGCCGCGCTGCGACTTGTGAACAAGCAACTCGGCATGCAACGAGGAAAATTGCGTAGAATGGCAAATGAAAAAGGCGTAGCAAATAAAATCGAACACGTTGTCATGGTTTGTTTGTTATTTAAAGTGAATGATGAATAAAGGATAAATAGATGAAAATCACGTGTAACGTAAAAAGACGAATACACATTTTTTTTAGAGGATTCGAAAATAATAGTTATTTGAAGTGGGAGGATATGGAATACGTAAAATTCCTTGTGTCAATAACGTATCCACGAAAAGGAAATTAACGAAAAGTGATCGTAGTTCGTTATTGTGATATAAATCCGTAATTTAATAACGACCAGCACTGTTGCTGATAACGAATAAGTCTGTTTAAAAAGCCCGGATAAATATTTTCGTACGAGAATTTTAAGAATTATTGCCGGAAACAAGCCATAGCTTGCGTTAAATTTAAAAATGAATGATTACCAATAAACTGACTAAAACTCACCCTTGTCGAAAATGCACCTGTAACTTGAAAACTTGTGTCACTGGGTCACTGAACCGATCCTGGTCATCGATGGACGAGCCCAGTGCACAGCTGATCCCAGGTATACGACACTACCCAAAGTTAAGGGTCGCAATGTCAGGTGCGTCCAGGTCAACGTATCGAATATTCACTTCACTGCACGGCTACTAACACTGATCACTTTATTTTTTTGTCGTGAAACGTATTGTTCTTACGTTTTAAAAATTGGTGGCCCCGAAAGGGGCCGATTGTTATTAATGAAAGTATTGCTCCACATGACGGCCGTCATTATCCACACATGCTTGAGCGCGGAGAATTAATTGTCTTTGGACGCCCTGTAATGTTTGCGGCGTTATTTTTTCCACCGCTGCGTGGATAAGCGCAATTGCTTCTTGAGGGGTGTCCACCGGTTGACGGTACACTTCATTCTGAAATGATTGTTGTACAACAAATACAAAACGTAAGTAAAAAAAAAATTATCTACCATAGGAATAAGTAAAGAGTAACA